GCTCCCAGGTTCCCAGGCTCCCAGGCCCCCAGGCTCCCAGGTCCCCAGGCTCCCAGGCCCCAGGCTCCCAGGCCCCTAGGCCCCCAGGCTCCCAGGCTCCCAGGCTCCCAGCCCCCTAGGCTCCCAGCCCCCTAGGCTCCCAGGCTCCCAGGCTCCCAGGCCCCATAGGCTCCCAGGCCCCAGGCTCCCGAGGCTCCCAGGCTCCCAGGCCCCCAAGCTCCAGCCCCCAGGCTCCCAGGGCCCCAGTCTCCCAGGCCCCCAAGCTCCCAGCCCCCTAGGCTCCCAGGCCCCCAAGCTCCCAGCCCCCTAGGCTCCCAGGTTCCCAGGCTCCCACCCAGCTCCCAGGCCCCCAGGCTCCCAGGTTCCCAGGCTCCCAGGCCCCCAAGCTCCCAGTCCCCTAGGCTCCCAGGCTCCCAAGCTCCCAACCCCCAGGCCCCCAGGCTCCCAGGCTCCCAGGCTCCCAGGCCCCCAACCTCCCAGCCCCCTAGGCTCCAAGGTTCCCAGGCTCCCAGGCCCCTAGGCTCCCAGGCCCCTAGGCTCCCAGGCTCCCAGGCCCCGAAGCTCCCAGCCCCCTAGGCTCCCAGGCTCCAGGCTCCCAGGCCCCCAGGGCCCCAGTCCCCCAGTCCCCCAAGCTCCCAGCCCCCTAGGCTCCCAGGCCCCCAAGCTCCCAGCCCCCTAGGCTCCCAGGTTCCCAGGCTCCCAAGCTCCCAGGCCCCCAGGCTCCCAGTCCCCCAGGCCCACAAGCTCCCAGGCCCCCAGCCTGCAGGCTCTCAGGCCTCCAGCCCCCAGTCTCTCAGGCCCCCCAGGCTCCCAGGCCCTCAGGCTCCCACACCCCCAGGCAAACCCTAAGTAACACAAGCTCCCAACGAAAAGAAATGGACTTCTCAATTTTGACTGTATTGCCAGGTGAACTTTGACCCTTCATAGTTGACTGGAAAGTGCATGGCACTCCCTTAGGGAGGCGGAGAAAGCTGTTTACATCGAACTATCCAGTCATAAGAAGGCATTATCCTAATTCTGTAGGAATGAAGACAATTTAAACGAGGAAATCCCCTTTAGTTCTGGAAGCAAATGGACTTCCCATTTTCAAATGTACAGCCAAAGTAGTCAAGCGACTGTATGCCGTGCATAAGCAGTCTGGAAAGGATTTGAACTTGATGCTATTTAGCCCAGCACAAGTAATATCCAACCTTGACCGCGGATCTGGAGCATCCGCTGACGGAAGAGAAGAAATGAACAATGAACACAACATAACACAAAAATGCAAAATATACACGGACATAAAGTTGAAGAAATGAATACGACTTAGCCAGCTTGGCTGCTGGACCGCCATGCTTGCACAGTCGAACTACCTCGCTCACATAGTCCGCGGTTAGCTGGTTGCATGAATAAACAGAATGGTTCCACCTCAAATATATTCGCCGTTGGTGCCTTTCATTTGCGCCAGCCAATCTTTTGGCAGTACAGCGGCGACCCACAGGCAGGATCTGTACCTGTCTCATTGTGCATTGCCACTCATTGCAGCATCAAACTAACAAGTGTTATCGTCTTTGTAATAATTACCTTACTCAGGATCAAGAGTCTCTGGCTGTGCTATAGTTGGCTCCAACCCGACCCTACTCTCTAACCCCATAGGCCAAATCTCTAAAGATGCTTAAGAGGTAATATCACAATGGAAGTCAATGATGATTTTGTGGGTGGATTTGGGATGCAGCCCACGCAGCCGTCGGACAATAGGCGCCGGATGCATGAGGTCCAGCTGCAGCTATGATGCAGCCAACGAATGACAAGTGAGTGGCATCATCAGCCATTGCACTGGTTCATTAGATGAGCGGTACATTTTAAACGTGCCCAGCAACGTTTGCAGTGCTGCTGGTGATAAGGCCACCAAAGCGTTTGAGGAATTCCTGGCCGTCATTGGAATGGAATATGACGACTTTGCCGAGTTCTATGGCAACTTGGCAACAAAGGACTTCACCATCGCGACCACGCTCCTCATGCCATGGCTGCACACCTGGGCAGCACCAAACCCAAGCAACAACCCAAAGTATGATGTTGTCTCATGCGAAGTAGTAAAATTTGGCTTGCATGTTAGACAATGCAACTGCTTGCTTGCATGATCTGCAGGACTCAAATGAGGGGGTTGCAACCCCACATGGTAAACTTGCTTCAGCAGGCATGTGTACAGAACGAGAAACGGGAGCTTCAGATGGCATCATCCACCAAAAGCTCTGCCTACGATGAAGAAAGGTGATGATGATGCCGCTCTGCCTGAGATATGGATATATGCCTGAGATTGAAAGCCGTTGAGGAAGGAGGCGTATGTTGGGTACTGGCTGATATCCCAAGGCATAACATTATGTCCACCGGTGAGTTGTTCTCTGGGGGAAATCATGATGATATTGGTTGATTAAGGCACCTATCCAGGTACCTACCCGGGTTCGATTCCCGGGGTTATTCTTTCTGCTAGGGAGGAGATAGCTGTGACTTTAGGTAACCACACAGATGCTTCCATACCCTCAGCTTGACAGATGGTTGGGGATCCCCTAGTTTTGAGGGGGTGGAAATTGTCATTCATGTGCAAGCAAACAAGGGCCACTGCAGTATTTTGATTTTGTGTCAAATTACTTCTTGCTGCATATATTATGTATGGAGTCTCCTATACAGGGTTTGGTGTATTTAACTTCTGATGGGCATGTTTGTCTGTCTACAGGGCCCACCCAGCAACCTGCATCTGCTGAGGACAACACCACATGCTTTCCCCACCACACATCAGCATGCAGAGTCAGTGGAAGGTGAAAGCAGTAGTAAGGTGTGTGGCATAAAACTGCATTCTAAGTTCCACATCAGCAGTCATTGCAGTTCTTGATGGTCTGACAAAGGTGCTACTGTATGCCCCTGCCTGGTCTTTGCTGCATACAGGCTCACAAGCTGCTTATGGAGGACTGCTGCTGCTGCAATGTCTTGTAGTGTTAACTAACAGTGATAGAGGACTACTACTAGGCATGACTACCAGAAGGTGTTAGGGTGGATGAGCTGCAGCTGGGTGCACCCAGTATGAAACTGTTTGGAGCTGTTTCGAAGCTTCTGCTGCAGCGGCTGCTGCATACAGGCTCACAAGCCGCTTGTGGAGAAGCTACTGCTAGCAGCAGCATTGTTGCACTGTACAGCCACTGTACATACTTGTCTTGGAGTGTTAACTGACGGTGATGGAGGGCTACTTCTGGGCATAACTACCAGAAAGACTTGAGGTGGATAGAGTGGTTGTGAGGTGTATTGTAGCATGTGTTGAGGCAAATTGTTGACAGATCTATGAGCTGCAGCTGCAGCAGCCGCGGTTGTGGAAATGTCTGGTGCTGTTTGGAAGCTGTAGCAGCTGAAGCTGAAGCAGGCAATGCATATGGCTTAATGTTGTTACATAGCAGGACTTGGGAATTTCGTATGCATGTAGCTGCTGCTAGGCGACATGTATATGTAAAATTATGAATCCATGCATACATGGTCTATCCCTACCCCTATGGCAGCCAAACTGCGTGTTACGGCCCCCCCCTAGCAACTGGACTAGTTACTCCTGAGACGGGTTGCGGCCCAGTTGGTACCCTGTAGCGGCCCAGTGGCGGG